TTTGGTCAAATGATCGATTGATTGATTAATTGATTAATTTTTTGGACCAAATTTATTTGTTAACAGTAAATATTAATGTAAGATTATAGCAGCCGCCTAATGCTCTTCCCACCATGGCCAAGTGCTTGCTCCACAAACAAGCTAGTGCATGCTCCACCATGGAGGGTGGAGGGTCGTTCATCTTCAAAGCTGACTGTTATAAATATGTGCAGCAGCTGTTGAAGAAAAGAACACACCAAAAACTGTAAACGCTCAACATTGGCTATACATTGCACTCCTTCCTCTCAGCATTTTCATACGATTTTCTGAGTTTCTACTCCTTTGTTCTGCATTGTTTTAACTTCAAACAAAGCAACTGTAAGTGTGATTTGCTACCGAACTTTGAGTTCGCTGAAACACTGGGGTTTGAAGTACCGCTACACCAGTGTGTGATTCGTTCTATCCTGGGAGGAAATAATCAATAACCTTGGGTACTAGGAGGGGATTAAATTCTTTAAGGAAATACTGTGAATTCAGTGGGCTCGAATTAATTACTGTTTCATTACGATAACTTATATTTCTCAGAATTATTATTTACAAATACAACAATATTGGCGAGACTAACAACTACTACTACAACATTATTTATGGTATATCCTCTACAGTTTATGTTGATTGGATTTGATAGGGATCCCTATGAGGTGTGATACGAAATTTAAATTATTGGATTCTAAAATTAGTAATTTATATATATTATGATTTTTAAATAAACAAATAATATAAAGCTTGAACCAAACTTATTGGCTTCGACGGAATCCATAAATTAAATTGCGCCCGTACTTGGATCTTTGGTCCTAAAAAACATGTAGTGAATAATATGATCGCGCAAATGTTCACAGATAGGTTTCATCCCTCAGTGTTAGTGGTTCTTAAATCTGCTGACCCCACTTGGCTAAAGAATTGACAATCATGTTCGTTTGTTTCTTGTTTTTTTCCTTAAAATAAAAAAAGACTCTCATGTCATGTCCCTTTGAAACCGCTTGCATTCGTCGACTTCTGTTCCGTTTGATTCAACAAATTATTTATTGTTTTTCCAAACTTTCTGTTCCTATAAAGCCCACAAATAAATGGTTTTTACTCTGTACAATTCAACAAATTTTCCTCTCCAATACTTGTCCTAGTCAGTATTTTAAAAATTCTTTTTCTCTCTTTTCTGAAATAATATCTCTAATGGATAGATCACAGCTTCATATTGGTATACTTTCAAGCCCTGGAATGGGTCATTTAATCCCAGTTCTAGTGTTAGGCAACCGATTAGCCACATATCATAACATCAAAATTACAATTCTTGCTATCACAACCAGCTCTTCTTCATCAGAAACCGAATTTCTCAAGAAATCCACTCTCACCGATGAGAAAAAAACTATAGAAATAATTCCAATTCCTTCGGTCGATATTTCCCACCTAATAAATTCCAGCACTAAAGTTTTCACTCAATTGCGACTATTGGTCCGCGAAGCCTTGCCCAAAATTCATTCCACTATAGCTTCCATGACTCATCGTCCAGATGCTTTAATTGTCGACATTTTTTGCACACAAATATTGCCAATTGCTGAAGAATTTAACATTCCTAAGTACGCGTATCATCCTACTACTGCGTGGACATTAACGTTAGCTATATACTGTCAAATTTTTGACAAAGAAATTGAGGGTGAATATGTTGATCTTAAAGAGCCTTTGAAAATTCCAGGTAGCAAAGAACTACGACCTGATGACGTAGTGGATCCATTGCTGGATCGGAGTGATCAGCAGTATGAAGAGTATTTGAAGCTAGGAATGGAATATGCAGCTTTTGATGGAATCTTGATTAATACTTGGGAAGATTTAGAACCTGAGACTATTAAAGCACTTCGAATTAATGAGAAGTTGAGATCAATTCTAAAAGTGCCGGTTTTTCCAATCTACCCAGTTGGTCCCTTGAGGAGAACAGTTGAAACAAATGAACCTGACGAGGTACGTAATGTTAGAATTTGTTTAAACATAAATAGCAAATTAAATATTTTTTAATTAAAAATCGTGTCTAAAGATTAAAGTGGTTTTTTCTTCCCTATAAATATATTGTTGTTTACTCCGCAGATCAATCTTACATCTACTATCAAACTTTTTCTCTCTTCTCCTCCAAAAACACTCTCTTTCTTCTCCAAATTTCTGTTTTAATACCATAAATATTCTTGTTTCCTAATTAGAATTTCTTTACTAGTATTTGTTTAGTGTAGATATATATTTAAATGGCTCTTCATATATGTCCACTTACGGCTTGTTTGGATGGTTGTTACCCATTGTATCGTATTGTATTGTTATCCCAAAACAATATTTGTTTTAATTGTTTAGTTAAAATTGGTTGTATTGTATTGTTAAATCCATTGTTCCGGGGCAATGAAAAATAATCATTTTTTGAAACAACCGATTTGATGTGGTGGGATTATTTCCTATTTTTCTTTTCAATTATGCCGTAACTTATTATTTTAGAATTATATTTTACTCTTTACCTTTTTTTTAAAACTTCAAATCTCCCGCCTTTAACCTACTTTTCTTCGTCCCTTTTCTTTTTCCTTCTGCAGCTTACTATTCCCAACTCCAACGTCAAAGGTAGTAAGTATAGGTTTTGTCTTCTTTTTGTTTCTTTTTCTCCTACTTTGATTTTAACTCCAATTCTAATAACTTTAATTACTTATTTATCTTCCTTCCTTTGTTCTGCCAACTGCGCGGTCTTCGTTCGTTTCTCTAACATCGTTCTTTATTATTATTTTTTAATGATAGTTAATCTTTGATTTTAGTAGAAAGGGATTTTCTTAAATTATTTTTATGCCTTATTCTTGATAAATTTAATATTTAAAACAATTAAGGGTATTTTAGTAAACTTATCAGTTACAGTACAATGCGATACAGTCAAACCAAACAGCAAAATATTATTTAACAATAGCAAACAATACAATCTATCCAAATGTTGCATTCATAAAATGATACGATACAATACAATACATTATGAAACGATGGATAACAATGATCCAAACAGAGTGTTAAACTATTTTCATTTGATCTCGTAGAAATCTGGAAAAGAAGAGGAAGTCAAATTTAAGGAAAATATTTCTAATTTAACATGTTTCACACTTAAATTATTTATTTTTTCTTCACTCGTATTTTCCAACAAGTGATTCAATCGCTAGAAAATCAAAATCATGAGTCAATTCCATATGTATAGTGTTATATTTACGTATTTCAAACCCTAATTCTTTAATTCATTCATATTTTTCAACAAGTGATTCAGTAATTAGACAAGCAAACTCTGGAGTCAGTTCATACAATATATTAGTGTTATTTAATGTGTTCCATGTCTAAACTATTTGTGTTTTTTGTTCATATATTTACCAATAGGTTATTGAATGGTTAGACAAGCAAAATAATGAGTCAGTTCTATTTGTGTCATTTGGAAGTGGTGGAACACTTTCAACTCAGCAAATGACCGAGCTTGCATGGGGTTTAGAATTAAGCCAACAGAAATTTGTTTGGACTGTACGTCCCCCATCTGACGGTGATGCAGATAGTGCATATCTAAACTCTGCCGGAAAAGAGACACGTGGCATGCCGAAATACTTGCCGGAGGGGTTTCTAACTAGGACCAAAGATATAGGCTTAGTAGTGCCTATGTGGGCCAAACAAGTCGAAATTTTGGGGCACTCGTCAGTGGGTGGATTTTTGACACATTGTGGATGGAATTCAACGGTGGAGAGCTTAACAAATGGTGTTCCTATGATTGCATGGCCATTATATGCTGAACAAAAAATGAATGCTGCCCTGTTGACGGAGGAGCTAGGGGTGGCGATTCGGCCGGCAGTTTTGCCGACGAAGAAATTGGTGAAGAGAGAGGAGATAAAGGGAATGGTGAGAATGTTGATGTACACAAAAGAAGGAAAGACTATAAGGGAAAAGGCTCAGAAATTAAAGATGAGTGCGGAAAATGCACTAAGTGTTGGAGGTTCATCTTACAATTCCATTTGTGAGCTTGTGAAGGATATTCGGAGTAGATTGTTATAAGTCTGTTATTTCTTTGTGAAATCTTTTGCTTTTTTCAAATAAATTGCCTTTTATGCCTGGAGGACAGGAGGAGTAGTTGATAACCGACCCTTAGCGGTGTACCAATAGTGATACTTAATTTGTTAAATTTTCCATGAAATCCAATACCTTAATTATAGTAGTAATTATCTTGAATAGAGGGAGAGATTTCTGTCTCAATAATGTATACAATCCGTTATTTTCATTCTGTTAAACAATCAATTTACTTCATTTAATTTGCCTATTCGTGGAGGGGGGCTAAGGGGAGAGAACGCAACTGGTGCCTGCATGTTTGCTCTTCAACTTGCTTCTTCACATTTTCTTTCTATTTTTTGACTTGTAGTAGAACTCTACTTGGATGTCTTTGTCAAGAATTAGCTAGTGGTACACTTGTAATTTGATTGTCAGTGGAAAACATTATATCTCATGATCAACATCCACTACTAGAAAACTGTCAAAAAAAATTCACTACATACCGACCGGAAAGGAGGTAAATTGATGTCAACGAAAATATTTCTCACAAAGATACAGACCACCGTAGGTCGGAAATAGTGGTCCCACAGCAACAAAAAAACAAAAAATCCGACCGATGTTGTACGGAAATTGATCAATCTTTGACCAAGAAGACCTGGTCATACTTGCCTATTATCTACTAAAATAAGTTTAATTTAAAATTTTTAATTATACCAACCGAAATTTTATTTTTTCCCGCTTGATTTTTTAATATTACAAAAATTATATATATATATATATATATAGTCTCCATGTTCGTGCCTCGCACGAAATATTTTATGCCATATTACAAAACGCGTAACAAAATTATAAACTTTCACTTACCTAAAAATTCTAATTAACTTAGGTACTTGTTACTGAATATGTATAAAGTTCAATACTTAGTTCCTCAAAACAAAACAAAAAATATGTTTTATAATTCGAACAACTCATTAATAAAATTTTGACAACAATATTAGGACAAAATGGAACTAAACATTATGAGAGTTATGCTAAAAGTAGTAAAATCCTTTTAAAATCCAACTTATAAAGATCTTATTTTGCTTCAGTTTTGTAACTATTCCTAATAAATTTAATTTCAGTATTTTTGAAAATATCTGACTATATAAAATTGAATTAACTTCCACTGAATTGGAATGTATGTACTCTACGTTTACCTAGAGGAAAGTTTAGTATATTTAATCTTAGATTTCTAATTTCACTTAAGTAATTAAAGGATAATCTTTAGTTGAATTTAAAGTGGTAAATATTGGATAAACTTTTTATAAGACAATCTTATCCAACATGGAATTGTCTTTAGAGGGAACTAAGCTTTGAAAACACATAAATATCGATCGGCGTGATATATATTTTTACGAAATATTTTAATTTGATATATGTAACTATAGTTTCAACATTAAATAAATACCTACATGAACTTAAAAAGCATAAAGCATAGGAGTAAGTATAAGCTCTTTGATCATTCAAATTTATAGCTTGTTTGGCCAAATTTTTGGAAAGCCAATTTTCTTTAAAAAGTGTGTATTTAAGAGAATTGAGGTGTTTCATCAAGCTTTAGGGGGAAATCATCTTTGAATAGCAGCAGAAGCTGATTTCAAAAGGTTAGACACAATTTTAAAACTTAGCCAAACACAATTTGACGCTCTAATATTGGAAAAAATACTTTTCAAATTACCAAGCTAAACATAAATTATTTTTATTTAAAAGTACTTTATAAAAAAGCACTTTTAATAAAAAATACTATCCAAAATAAGTAAATTTTGAATGCTTTATTAAACAAACTATATTGTTTAATTTGTTTCCCAACAATATAGGTCAGAAAGCAGACCAAACACAATAACCGAGAAACATACAAAATTATTCATTAACGTCAAATTTGTTGACGCTAAACCAAATCAATATCAATTACCAAAAAAAAAAAAAAAAATCAATATCCAAAAAGGAAAACAAAAAGCAAAAGAGAGCTAAAAATAACTTCAAGAACTTTGCCATGTTTTGTCTGAAACACCCTAAAAAGATTGGTGATGAATAGTGTGGAATAATAATTTTTTTTTAAAAGTACTTGGCTTATCCTTTCTCTACATGAATTGATGTAATATATTTAATTTTCATACAAATTGGAGAACCAAAAATCAAGCGTACAACATGCATATTGCTATCCATAAAGAATAATGATACTATACATTGAACCATATGCATATTGGCGGTAAGTACAATAGCAGTCCAAAACGAATTAGAATTTTATATCCAAATGTAGTTTAAATCGAACAAGAAGTTTCTGAGTATAATATTTTGAAATTTACAATTACATCTATTTTTAACTTGGTTCATTAACAAATATTTTAATTTTTTAAGGGCATAAGAGTCTATCAATATAACAGGAATATTTTTGTCGTTCAACATTTAGCGTAAATTATTCGTGTTTTTATAATAATATAGATATATCGTGGCTATGCCACGGGAACTGTACTCATAGTCACAATGATTTATTATTAATCGTGCCTAAAGCAACTAGCACATTTGAATTATTTTCCTAATCTTTGAGATTATTGGTGAAGCTATTGAATTATGGATAACAAATTCACGTGGAAAAAATGCAAACCTGTATCCAACCTCAAATTATTTATCCATTATACTTAACTAACTAACAAAATCAAAGATTAGCTATATGAAACCATGGACAACTAACATTAACAGAACTATACTAACAGGATGTGGAAGCATTTTTGAAATAAGGCCACAATTTAAAATAAACTAAAGCTACTGCTCATGCTTTCTATCACAAGAACCAACCGAAATATCATACAAATTAGCAAAATAAAAGGTGTAGTAACGAGAGAGTGGACCTTTAAGCCAAACAATTTTCCATGACTTGATCTAGTAGACAACTCCAAGTGAGATTTACAGTAGAGTAAAGCCGACAAAACTTGAGCGGCGAACAATAAAAATAGCTTGGACGCCTTTGACCGGAAACTCGAACGGCAACCTCGATTCTTCATTCTCAACCCAATTAGCTTGAACCTGGAGGGAAATGACGTCGTCCTCGACAGAAACGACATCAACGTTACCACCATCAGAAATGAGATAAGGGCGAACGTGTTAGTTCTTTTGAGGAAAAAAGAATTTGGATTCTAGGACTTAGAGTGGAAGTTCCGGCTTGTATATGAAAGATCAAATCTGGGAGATGCCCATTGTTGGTGCTATATACACCGTTGCTCTGTTCTATTTTTTAGCTAGGTGGTGGGGTGCTGAAGCTTTTGGTATTTTTTTAGGAATTAGCTTGGCAGAAGTTTTTTTTGGATATAGGCACAAAGATCATCATCTCCATTTTGGGGGGGGGAAAGGAAAACTTGGTTGGACAACAACCCTATCTTGTCTCAATTNAATTCAAAGGTAAGGTAGGATTTGGCTATAATTGAGTTTAAATATGGGTGTAAAAATTGACATAGCCATTAGATTAGGGCGAATAGATGGCTAAGATTAAATCTTGCACTTAAGTGGGCTAATGGGTTGGGAAGAATGGGTCTTTGTCCGAAACTATTTTTTTGTATTTACTTTTAATTTTTAAATACTAAAACAATAAAATTAAACTAATAAAGTGGTAATAAAAATGGATTAAAAATCTATAATAACTCAAGTAAATATTTAAAATACTACAACTAACTTAAAAATTATGCGGGTCAAAAATTACGTGCTTACAAAAATCAGTGACCCGAATGGGATATTTTTTTTGTATTTTTGCTAATGGTGCAGTACTTTTATTTCCTTTTATGCTTTGTGGATGACTCTTATCAATGACAATTAACTGCTTTTGCTCTAATTGTTTGTTGATGCTTCTTAGATAACTAATATCCTTAGATTGATAAGTGATACTTGATACCATGATTGCATTTGAAGTAGCCTAAATGGCCATGAGTAAGATTTACTAAAATCTGGTTATCTAACATAATTATGCAACTTTTCGCGATGCCAAAAGGGAGAAGACAAGTTGTGCTTTTTACTTTGGACTGTAATGTTTATAACCTAATGAACCTGGCCCTTGATGATTTGTGACTTTAAAATGAAAATTGTTCTAACATTGAGTTGATGTTGAGCTGAGTTGAAACAGGTTTCATGCTTATGAAAAGCACATAGTTTGTCATCATCAAAAAGAAAAATTTATTTGCCTAAGTAAGTTTTGATGATTGACAAAAGAAACTCATGCATGAACCAGGTCCATACACAGTATCCACAGACATAGGCAGTGCTTATAAAAAGTACAGAGTTTGTCATCATCAAAAAAGAAAATTTGTTGGCCTAAGTAAGTTTTGATGATTGACAAAAGAAACTCATGCATGAACCAGGTCCATATACAGTGTCCACAGACACGGGCATATTCAAGCACAAGGCATGCACGTGGAGGAGATAAGTTTAAGTTGTTATATCTGATATCTCCTAAACGAAAAGATTGCATAATTGATAAGGAGCAGGACTCCTTACTTGAAGAGAACTCTATCCAAGATAAGGAAGGAATTAGAAGTTGAAGATAACTAGAACTCTTCCACAAAGGAAGAGTAAAGCATTAGAACTCTAGTTAATCCTTATTCTACTAACTCTATAAATATCAATTTTGTTCTCTTCTACAGGTGACGCACAAATGCTGAAGTTAAGCAATAATTAAGAGAAAATAGCAAGGCATTTTGCGAGCAATTTATGTGTGATTCAAGTGTGCGAACCTGAAGCTACATGAACCAGATAGAAGAACCAGTTCCAAGTGTTTGTCTTTTATTCTAGTTTCATTGTAGTAGGGCTTTCAAGTTGTATCTTTCAACTATTTCTAGAAGCATTTGTACTAGGTACTCTGAGTGTATTATTCAAGTTAGAGTTAACTTGAAATTGTCGCAACAGCCTGTCACAACAGCCTGAAGCTGGTTGCCACAGAGGGTTAGAGGTAATCCTTAGATTTACAAGAGTTTTGTAAACGTTTTTTTGGCTCAGTGATTTAGTGAAGTGTTGGGAAAAATGCTACTAGGTAGTAGGTCATGATTTTTTCACCTTTTGAGCTAGATGTTTTTCACGTAAAAATATTTGTGATCTTTACTTTCTGCATTTATTATTTCGCAACTATAGTATAAGGAACACATAAAAGAACCAGGTCCTTCTATAATCTGTGCACCAGAAAAATTAGACACCACACAAATCATCCCCTCTTGTGTG